CCCCCCCCCAAAAAAAAATGGTGGTCATGAAATGATTAGAGATACGGGTCAACATCAGGCCTGGAACAGCTGGCTCACTTGCACTCATTCATAGCGTTGAATAAACATGTTTTTATAGAAGGGTTTAAGGGAAAAACCAGTGCAGTAATGTTAGGTTTTGAGAGTTTCGAGAAAAAATGATAATAAAGTTTGAAAATTCCCCATGAAAGTATCAAAATGTCAAACTATTTATTTATTGACTAGGCCGCTTTTTCAGTTGGGCCTATGTGTTTATCAGATCATAAAGTGTTCCGGATTTCTAATTTAAATTTGATCAATTTTTGTTTCGTATCAAAATGAGTTTTTTTTTTTTTATCAGCTAATAAAGTGTTCCGAATTTTTAATTAAAATTTGTGCAATTTTTTTTTTCGTATCATAATGAGTTTTTTTTTTAATCAGGTAATAAAGTTTTCCCAATTTTTAATGACAGTTTGAGCCAAGTATATTTGATTCTTTTCAATTCACAAATGTTCTTGTTATGTTAACCAATGAACAATCTTGCACTGTGTAATTGAAATGGCTTGTTTAAAAACGTAGAGATGACGTCTGTGCGTCAAGGGGAGGAAAATCGCACCAAATGTGGGATTAGCCCAAAGGGGTTGAAAATTTAAATATGTAAAAATATGATTGTGTACAATTTGTGTATGTGTGTGTGTGTGTTTCGGGGCGGATGAGTGGGGGTGGGGGTCTTTCTATAACTTACACCACCATTGTCTTTATTTGATACACCAAAGGGGGCCGTTTGTTCAAAACATATTATTATGTGTTCATTGGCGCATAAATACCGGTGTTGGTGGGGGGGGGGGGTAGAGATGCTGAATAAAAGATGAGTTACAATACCCAGTGTTAAAACCAGAAGGGGATATAGAGCAGATGTCGGAAAAAAACAACTTCTTTGGACAAGGGCCCGGGGAAGACGATCCAGAGAGACTCTGGATGCGTAATCTCTATGTGTCTTGAAACCAAGAACATCTCACGAATTTATATTCGATCAAAACGAACATCTAAAACACAAAGGACTCGTTCAATTTTTTTTTCTGTTATTGAAATAAATCACAAATTGAGATTAAAAAAAAAACAACAACAACTTTTCGTGAGCTTGTCGAATAATATTTAATTTTAATTAAGAATACAGATAAATAGTTTAAGGTGCTAAAACATTTGAAATAGCAAACCAATGTCTTTTTTGATCGCATCGGTGAAGCTGGTAACTTTCTGATACGATGACATCTAGCTTAGGCTCAAGGCTAGTACATACTATGTTCAAAATCGCTCAAAGTTCTCACCAGATCGGGCTGGTCTGTAATTTCTAAATTTAACAAATGTCTTTTCGCACAGTAGTTGCAAAAACAAAACAAAACACAAAAAAAAAAAAAAAAAAAAAAAAAAAAAAAAAAAAAAAAAAAAAAAAAAAAAAAAAAAAAAAAAAAAAAAAAAAAAAAACGACCCTAAAGCTGTTGTGTTTTACCCCACCCCAAACCTTCTGTGACCAAGCAGTTAAATGTCATCCAAACCTAATTGTACTAAGCATACGATTTGATTACGCCTATGAACATGTCCTGCTATTTTTTGCCACGCATACTAATTACCATGAACAGATGCGAAATATTCCGCCGCTTCAATGTTAC